TCTGAACTTACCTCCACCGCCTGGGTCCACAATCCAGCCTGAACAGCCCAAGCTGTCCAACATAATCAGCCTTCGAGTTCTGCTGTTGTACGTGACTGGAAGGAAGAGAGAATTTTTTAAAAAAATCAAGTACAGGGAGGGCAAATGTGGAAAGAATTTATGCTGACAGCAATCTCGCCATAGCCCCCCCCACCCCCCCAGAAATGCTACTAATTAAAATTTACAGAACACAAAAACACACATAAAAACACGATGCCCAAGTGATTCTAAGCTACTTACAACAGAATAATGATAATAATTCTTACTTTTGATACAGGTCCTTATCATATCGATGAGATGTCTCGAAGCACTTCACAGAATATACTGTAAAGTGAATTGACTGTATATTTTGTGGGCAAAACGCGGCAGCCAATTGACCTGAATGTATCTCACCTCCTGTGACCTCAGGACGGCTTTTGGACAAAGTTAAGCTGCTCGCCAAGATGGGGTTGAAGGTCAGTATGTTGATGGAGTTGACTGGTGGGATAGCTACATCTTCCTGTCCAAGGTCTGATTCCCATACTGTACCATCTTGATCCGATTGTTTGTTCAATTGCTCTTTCCTTTACCATGAAAAAGAGAAGCCATCAGAGAGTGAGCAGACATTTTTTGGACAAGATAACGCTGTCAGGTTTTTTTTCGAAAGGGCAACTAACCCCTTCCATTTTTTTTTTCCTTTACCATCACTTTCAAATGAAAAAAAACAGACGATGAAAAAGTGGCTTGAATAGTGAACTGGAATCATTGCTGAGGTGTCAACAAGGTGAGGGTCCGCTGTACTGCAATCCACTCCACTGTTCACTCAACGACAACAACAACTTCAAATTGTGTTTATATTGAGCCTTTTACGTCGGGAGGATGTCCCAAAGTCTTGGACTGATAAAGGTTTGCACCCGAGCTGCAGGCTGGAGTCAAGAGGTGTGAAGGATGGTAGTGGGAAGGTAACCAAAGGTGCGGTCAAAGAGGAAGGTCTTGAGTTGGGCCTTGAAGGAGGCAAGGGAGGGGGCGAGGTGGAGAGGCTCCGGGATGGAGTTCAAAAGGATGAGGACAGGAAGGCTTAAGGTCCAACACCCAATGGTGCCGAGCAGAGGGAACAGAGGGAGAGGAAGCGAATAGAATATTTTTAGAAGGTCAGAGGAAGAGTAGAGCAAAACCATGGAGGGCTTTAAAGGTGAGAACACTCACTTGTCTTTAAAGTTGAAATCACTATTAGTTGTCATGTTTACAGTTCACTTTTGTGGCACATCTCAGTAGAAGGTTGGATTTGACACACAAAGATGTGTAGAAAACCCGCCCGTGCTGGTTGCACTTGCACCTGGTTCTCTTCATCTGTTAATGCAATGGTTTATATCTGCAAGAAACACATTGAAGAGGTGATTTTTTTACATGCTAATATTAAACAGGTTAACATATTAAACAGCAAGTTTCCTTACTCCACGTGCCTCTGTTTACCTAACAGTAAGTAGGAATCCGGTTGTTAGTCGATTGGCGGATCACTTTTCCGGGGGTAATAATTCCTTCAAAAAAATAATAAATTGGTCACTTCAATCCACGACTGTTTGTGGGACAATTGGCTGCGGTGTTTCGCCCACAAAGTATACGGTCAATTCACTTTACAGTATATTCTGTGAAGCGCTTTGAGAAGTCTTGAAGATGTGATAAGGCGCTATATCAAATGCAAGGATTATTAATATTAATGCATCCGGTGCGTACAACATTAAAATATTATCAAAACAAAAATGGTGACTTCTTACACATGTGATCCCTCACATCTCCTTCCAACCTCCTCCCCCCCAAAAAAACACTTGGCAAGGACTTTTTTTTCATAAAAGACCATTTGACTCCCAAAGCAAGTCCCAAACCACTATATTAATTCATTTATTGAGGTATTGAATGACGCTTAACAGTCAACAGCAAGAGAATATTTAACCACACATTGGGCATCATATCCAAACACAATCCTATCCTCATTAGCCACACATCCACTTATCCAGAAGGGTCTCTGGTCAGGAGCCAGGCTTGCTTTCCCCTCCTTAACCATTCGCTATCAAAATACACAGTCTCTACACATTTTCGGTAAATCTTTTGTGAAGGCTATGATACATCCAGATATAAAAGGTGCTATAAAAATGCAAGCGTTTGTTTTATCATTAGGAGTGCGAACATCGTCAAGACATCTCTAAACACTTCACCGGATATATTGTAAAGCGGATTGAGTTTGTATTTTGTGGGCGAAACACAGCAGCCAGTTGCGCAGCACAGCAATGTCCCACAAACGGACATCGAGTGAGTGACCAATTTTTTTTATTTTGAAGGGTATTGTTGACCAGGAACACAAACACCACACTTTACAATATACATCTATATTTACCTCCCCCTTCTCCCTTGCTCAGCACCCAACCCTGCCACTATACAGTGTCTGAAACATTATCCTTCATGAAGGGCATTACATAAATCTTTTATTGTTGGGAAAGAAGCTGTAACGACAGGGCTGTTATCTTTAAGGCATTCTTAGTTTAAAACATTGAATTCTTTACCTAACGATAAAACTTTGTAAAAGGAATAGCAAACGAGGTTACTTCCTGAAGATAAACCGCCTGAAGTTGGCAAAAAAAAACATAGCCAGCGTTTTGACCCAGCGTGAACCCAAGAGGATAACTTTCATGAGGAATTGGGGTTAATGTCATGTCTCACTCGCCTGCCCAATGCAAGTGGTAGTGTTACACATCAAACATTAATATATTTTAGTTATTTTAGTTAAATTTCACCCACAGAACACAGTCAATTCGCTTAACAAAGTGATGTGAAGTGCTTAGATCTGTCTCAACGACGTGATAAGGGACTATATCAAGTGCAAGGATTACTATTATTAGTGTTATGGGTGTTATTATTAATAAATGATGGTTAGTATCCATTGATAGGCAGGTGAATGACATCTCTACCTTCTGGGGACTGCCTGCAGCTGCTGATCATATCAATGTAAATGCATTCACCAGATCAATCTAACAGAGCTGTCCAATCGTTTATACTGTATTTGCTGCTGTACGACTCCCCAGTGCTCCCGAGGGGGGTAATAGGTTTTGGCCACTCGCCAATTCCCTAAAAGAGTGTTCTCTGTGCCATTCAAACCAAAACACACCAACAAACAGGTGCTTAAAGGGATCGTCCACCCACACACCTGAGTGCTCCAGCATTATCTCCCGCCGATGTTTAATGCAGTGATTTAAAACCCATCAGCTGCTCGTCAATAAAAGGATGTTTCCTAAAACCTCCTGAGTTCAGCAGCAATGTCCCTCAATTTACTGAGGCATTAGAGACTGGTGTGTCACCGACTGAAATTGAATTGGGATTGATTTGGGGATTTGGGCTCCTGGAATAAACGCCTTGTTCTCATTATTTGTCTTATTTGGGGGTGGGGATTCATGTTTGGTCGTTGGTCCTTAAAAAACAATACCCCTTAGGAATCAGCCACCAGGTGATGTGAAAGAACAATAATAAATAATAATCATTATTATTATTATTATGTGAAAAGAACAGTCCTGTAAATGCCTCTCTCCCTGATTATGGATGGGGGGGGGGCAGGGGAAGAATGATTAGGGAAGAGAAATCTTGCTTCCCAACACAGGATAGTAGGGAAATCAGTAATCCCAGCCATCAACTAATATTATTTGTCCAATTTTCTCCTATATATATATAAAAATGCTTACCCTTGAGCCTTGTCCACGTGTGTTGTCAGGCTAACACGCCCTGTGGCTTATGCTCCCAATAGTTCCAGCTGATACTTCTATGTTGTGAGTATGTGTACTGGGGGGGGGGTTAACAATTGATTTAATCCACTTCTCAGTGGGGGTGGGGGGGGGTCTGTTCCATATATATCCACTGTGGTGGGGGCAAAGAATTATTTGGGGCAATTTATTAATGGCCTCTGAATCCACACTCAGGCTGCCTGACTTAAATTGATTCAAAGATTGCTGTTCAACCTGGGAAGTTCATCAGTAATAATAATAATAATAATAATAATAATCCTTGCATTTGATATAGCGCTTTTCACGTCGGGAGGACGTCCCAAAGCGCTTCACAGAACACACTGTAAAGTGAATTGACTGTATATTTGTGGGCGAACGCGGCAGCCAATTGCGCACAGCAATGTCCCACAAACAGTCGTAGATTAAAAATGACCAATTTATTATTGTTTTTGGTTTTGGAGGGATTATTATTAGGCTCTGTGTGGAGTAAGGAAACTTGCCCAAGGTTTCGCCCTGACCTGCCAGGTACCTGGACATCTCCGATCACTGGTAAGTGCCTGCAGACAGCAGGATGTTGCATTTTTCAGGGAGTATTTCTAAGAGCTTTTAAAAATTAGCAGCAGCACAGCCATAGAGGGCAAGAGTGTATGTAACCAGTCTGAAACCAACTGCATTTTAGTACTGATCATTGTTATTTGAGGGCTCAGCTGCAGAATTGGTCTGTCCTGTACACTTCATATTCAAAGCTCAAATTTACAAAACTGACCTTTTCTCTCTCACACACACACCCCCCGACCCCACCCCACCCCTCTTCTTCCACCCACCAAAACCTAAAGCTCTAAATAAAATGCACAGGCTTTTATATCTAAATCATTCTTCACTAAATCAGAACAAATCTACTGAAACACTATTTCAGTGAGCGAATAGTAAACCTGTGGAACAGGCTCCTTAGGGATACGGTTGAAGCAGGAAGTGTTGAGTCCTTCAAACACAGATTAGTTTTCTTTTAGGAAATAACATTATGGGATTATAGTACATAGGTAGTTTGGGACATATGTGCATTCGACTGCCAGGAAGGTGGAGGGCGAACTAGATGGACCTTGGTTTTTTTTTGGCTAGCATTTCTTATGTTCCTGTATGTTCTTAATTACATCTTGAAAATAATTCTGAACCACAGATTACGATCACTTGAACAGAAGAACACTGGCACACGGATACGAGTTGCACGGATTTTATTAAATGCATTTTGATAAAACATTTGCAATGAAATTGCGTTCAAGTTAGCGCTGGATAACAGATTAAATACAATTACATGCGATTAAACTATTCCAATCAGATCGGAGCCAACAGTGATAAACAAAGCAAAAAGACACCAAACGTCTGAGTTGGACAAAACACCTCGTATTACTCTTTAGAAAGAACATGTACTGTACAAAGCCCAGAGGCAGTACATGGATTATCAACAGTTTGCACAAAGAAAAAAATGGGAGTGGGTGGAGAGAAAGTCAGAGAAAGGCACCAGGAACACACTCTGTAAGCATAGAGAATGACCAGGTCAGTTCTGCTCCTTTAAAGAAGCATCAGCATTAAATAGCGTCTTTCAACCGAGAGAATCTAGACACGGTTTTGCACCTCTGAAATATAACTGGAAAGAGGCTTAAATCACCCTTACAAAATCATACAGCAAGAATTTCTGAATTATACAGCCTGAAGTGTGCAATTTACTATAAATTTTGCAATGAGATTTCCCATTAATTTTAAAACAACACCTTCAGAGGTTTGGTCTGCAGTTGTTGGTTCCTCCTGTAGAGTCTCTGCCACATTGAAAGGAGGAGCAAAATGTAGATATACACACACAATGCAGCTTCTCCCGAAAGGAAAGCGTTCGTTCAGGAGGAGGCATGCTTCCCGAAACATAATCAGTGGATGAAACGGGTCGATTTAGGATTATTCTACAAGAGTTTAAATATAAATCTAATATGAAAAATATGATCCTCTTTACAGACAAGTCTTGATTGTTTACTTACACATATGAGTACAATGATGCTAATTACGCTGTACATCACAGATGGAAACATTCATTTCTCACAACCCTATCAGCAGCCCAACATTTTTTTTGAATACAAATGGAACAAAGTAATCAGGACAGACTTTCACTCTTCCACACGAGACAGGAAATTCCGCCATAAGGAAGCGCAGACATCTGATTGGACGTAGAAATCCCAGACAATGCTTGTCAGTCATCCGTCGTAGCCCACCTGGTGTCAGGTTGAAGGCTAAAACTTCAAGAAAGCATCTTTTCTTCAATGCCCTTTCAAGCAAGTTGGGGAAAAGTTTGACCGAGGTAACCCCCGCTGTTGTTCTGCTTACCCGTGCACATGATCCCTTGCTGTGACCAGCCCTGAGTGCACCTCAAGGCACCGTTTTGAGTGGTGGTTGTTCCTGCTGTGGTTCGTTTTAAAATTTACCTGAGTGTAGCAAGATGCTGGTTAGACCAGCCACAGAACAAAAGCAGTGCACGCAGTGGGCAGCAGTTTCCAACAGCAGGGTTTAACCTCAGCAACCTTTCTGTGCAATGTTAGCACCTGATCGTTTGGTTACTCCCATCGTGGTGAAAATCTAGAGAAAGACAAAAAAAAAAACAACTGTCGAGAAGGCGGGCAAAGAGGAAAAAAAGAAAACTAGTTAGAAGAACCCAATGATCCAAATTCCTCGATTAGTTGTAGGAACTATACCCCAAAACTAACAATAAAAAACATAATTGGGTTTTTGATATCAACACAACGAGGAGGAGGAAGAAGCAAGTAGGAGGAAAACTAAGCAAATCAACCACTAGAAGGTAATTGCAAGAATACCTGGATTAAAAACAGTCTAATAAATGCCAGCCGTAACAGGTTAGCTAGAGTAGATCTGTCTGAGAAAACAAACTTTTGACGAGGTAGGATTCCAAGGTCACAATGGAGAAAATGCATGACTTAGTGTAGCTACACTTTGCTCACGTCCAAACTCCGCACTCCCGTCATCCCAATCCTCGCCAGGCTCCACTGGCTCCCCATTTGAACCGTGCAGTTGAAGAGGTAGGTTTTAAAAGAGGGGGCGAGACCGAGGGTCACAGAGGGAGTTCCAGAAGTTGGGAGGGCATTGAATATATAGTTTGGGACATGATATACAATGTATAAAAATCCTTGCATTTGATACAGAGTAAGATTCTGTAATTAATGTGTTAAATAATATCTCAAATTATATATGCGATGTTTAGATTTGAGACATATGATCAATCTTACAGGATGTGACTAGCCTTGCAGAGGAAACAAAAGACTGTTCATAAAACAACTGTTTTCAGTCCTTTTCTCATGGAAAAATGGTCTGTAGCTAAAGAGAGAGCTGTGTTGCATTTTGTTTTGTGTGGTTTTTTTTTCTTTTGTGAAAAAAGGAACCATCTTGCAAAAGACAATAGTGAAAGGTCACCTAACCAACTGTATAAATGGAGATCAATTCAGAAAGAGAATTAGAAGAAAAAGTAATTGGAACTTGGGGTCACAAACCAAATCCCAGCTTCTAATGAAGAAAGATCAAGACTACGATTTAAACAACAGTCAACGTATAATACCAGAATATTTTTAGATGTTCGAACTGAGCGTACAACAATATTTGGATACCTTTTGAAGAGACACTGAAAAGGACACATTAAAATGGACATTAAATTGGACATTGCTCCTCTATCTCTTCCACAGCATTTGGTTAGATCAACTTAAAATGTTGTGAACTGTACGTGGATACGTAAGCATTATTGTGATGTATTCTTTTAATTTATTACTAATCTGAATTAATAAATATCTATATATTTTTGTACAACATTTGTGTCAGTCCTTACTTCACCACAGGGTCTACAAATTTAAATTAACCCTCACAATACACCTTATCACATCTTTGAGAGGTCTCAAAATGCTTCACAGACTATACTGTAAAGTGAATTGACTTTGTGGGTGAAATGCAGCAGCCAACTGCACACAGCAGCGTCCCACAAACAGTCGTGGATTGAATGAACAAATTATTTTAAATTTATTTTGAAGGAATTATTATCCCCGGAAAAGCAATCCGCTAATCGACTAACAACCGGGTTCCAACTTACTGCTCGGTAAACAGAGGCGTGTGGAATAAAGAAACTTGCCCAACGTTTCGTCCTTATGAATTGGGAAGCTCAGCCAGTGATCATGATGTAGGTAAGGAGAGCGGGTGTATGAAGAAAACTTACTTCTGCACAAGTTGGGTGTATACCAATGACAGTGTCCAGCAGCTGTTTTGTGATGCCACATTTTATTGCAGCCCCAAAACCTTGGGTTATTTCACCTGCATTTGGACCAAGCAAATGAAATCCCACCACTCGATTCTAGGACCAAAATACATCATTAGTTAGTTATAATAATCCCTGCATTTGAAGTACGTCGAAGTTATGAATAACAAGTTTTGATTAATTTGGATATAATTGATGCGTCAGTTTGACACCAGCAGGGAGTAACAATGACTCTCCAATGGAGTAACAATGACTTCTCCAATCTAGTAAATATTCAGTAAAAATAGCCTATTTAACTTATATCTATCTACTGGTCTAAGATACAGTTGCATAGTGTTATCAACGAGAAAAGCAATTAGTTTGCAAGTAAAACAAAGCTTTACAGCCATGACAGTAACAATTCAAATAAAATTGTGCTACATTTGTTCTGCTAATTCACAGATAAAGTATCAATTCTAATTCCTTCCCATGTTTAAATATATACAATATATAGACATCTCTTCATACTCGGTACTAGCCCAGACTGTGAAGTTTCAGGTGGTCCTGGGTTTTAACGAACTTTTACAACAGTAATTCTTGTCTAGCAGACTTTTGCATTTTATGTAGAGAACTGTTTAATGTAAGAAAGGACCCAAACAGGATATCCATTTTCCTCTACAAAATACACAGTATATTCTTTGAGCGCTTTGACACGTCTCAAAGACGTGATCAACAACAACCTTACATTTGCATAGCAGCTTTCAAGTCGGGAGGACGTCCCAAGGCACGTGATAGGGCACTATATCAAAATTCAAAGATTATTATCATTTATCTTCAACTATTTTATCCCCTTAAGTCTACGCGATTACATTTAACCCTCATACCTGAGTTCTGTATTTGTTCTGTATTTGTCAAATGTTCTGCACTTGTCAAACCCCTTGGACCCCTGGCCTGTATCCCATCAGATTGTTCTATGATCACTATTACTTAAAGATGCAATTCCTCCTGATTCCAGGTGAGGTACCCTAATGCCACCATTTTTAAATCAAAATATGCTGCGTGAACTCAAAATAAATTGCTTTTCTAGAAACTGCACTGGAAACAAATGTGTTAATATTTATTAAGGGAAGAATCCTTTTGCATGCATATTTTTTCCATTTTAAGGTTACACCCACTCACTACCTAAATCACCATGAACAGACCAAGGAGGAAATTATGAGTTTGGATAATTTCCCTTAAAGTAAGAGCTGCTTGCAATTTGATATTCCTACAAATTCTAGGAAAAAAGCAGCTCAAATATTTGCACACTTTAAAAACCTTACATTGTCGAGAAGATTGCAGATGATCTTGGCAAAGCAGGCATTATTTTCCTTTGATGTGATTGCCCATTCCAGCGGTTTGAAGAGGCTATGAAACACCTGTAATGTACCACAGAGCAATAAGCAGAATGCAATACCATGCCAAGTCATTCAAATGGAAAGATCCATTCAACGTCTGGCATAGAAAGGTATCAACTTCACGAGTGAGACAGAGCAGTGACACCATAATATTTGTCACGAGAAATATTAAATTAGGTCTTCACCTCTATATTTTCCGCGTCGTAAAGCGCTACTGCTTTGTCCTCGGTGAGTCCACAACAACCATATTCCAATGGAGTAAACACAGTTGTACAAACATTGACGTAGTCGCACTAAGAAATAACACGTATGAAGCCACATATTAAAGATTGTCACTTTTGTTTTAATGCAAAATTGTGCTACATTGTCAGCAACTGCAAGCTACTTATAATTTCTTGATTGCATGGCTTTCTGGTTCAATGAAAATACACATCAATATTAGTAAAAAAAAATCAGGGTGGCTTAACTGGCAGCAGAACCTGTCAGTCACTGTCAAACAGGAGTCGGAGAGAGAGAGATAGACACACAGACAATGGATAGATACAGAGACACACAGAAAGAAATACACACCCACACACACACACACGTAGATAAAGAGAGAAGTAAAAATATTGCTTATGCGGCCCTCAAATCCGGCATCCAGCCCTCAGCAGCAAAAGGTTCGACCGCCTGTATTACATAATAAAGTGGCAGATACATTTAGTTTTTAGGATTGTCTTTTTTTTTAAATAATAAACTGTTTCTGTAACCAGTAGAATACTAGAAAGGGAAACAAAGAAAAAACACTCAGAACCTTAGAAAACAATCTCTTACCTTCAAATTGGCGCCTCCATAGAGTCTGTGGGCCAGCAGCTTCCCAGCCTGAATTGCAACGGGCGTGAGCTCCAGCTTGCCATCAATGACATCACCTATAGCGTAGACATGTGGCATGTTGGTCTGTTCTTGATCATTCACTGGGATTTTTCCATTACTAAACGGTAACAACACAGAAATTAAAATGCAGCCCACAAGATGCCATTTTAATTGCAAACGTAGCACGTCCCTTGAGGCACCCCCTCCCCCCAAAAGACGCTGGACTTCTATCATCGTGAGCAGTATGGTACTAAAAACCTCAAACAAGTAATGTGATCTATCAGACAGACAGCGCTAGTCAAAAAAGCATGGCCGACTACATTCATACTGGCGAAACCTTGGGCAAGTTTCCATACTCCACACAGAGCCTAATAATAATCCCTCCAAAAACCAAAAACAATAATAAATTGGTCAAATTCAATCTACGACTGTTTGTGGGACATTGCTGTGCGCAATTGGCTGCCGCGTTCGCCCACAAATATACAGTCAATTCATTTTACAGTGTGTTCTGTGAAGCGCTTTAGGACGTCCTCCCGACGTGAAAAGCGCTATATCACATGCAAGGATTATTATTATTATTATTATTACATTGACTAACTAGTTGGACTAGCTAGATTCCTAAGTAAAACCAGATACATAGCACTGTATTAAAGTATTATTAAAGTGCACTATACAATGTTATTTTGTACTGTATTGTCTTAAAGGGAAATGCATTTGCAAAAATGAGCAGCACATAGCCTGATAAGTTTTTCAATACTATCGTATGGGATTTTCAAGCTTTGCACATTGGCATACCAGACACCTGACAAGAGTAACAAATTTCACAATCTGACTTCAGTTGAGTTACCAGAAGGCATATCCCAAGTTAAAGTGTGTTCCAGATGGATCTTGCTGCCTCACTTTCCTATCTGTGTTTACAGTAAAGCATAACCCTTGCCAAAAAGCAGTTTGCAAGGTTAATAATTGTAGCACAAAGTACAGTTTAAAATTCTGTCTTCTAGCATTCAAGCCAGATCGATAAGACTTTTCACATCTATACTTTTTAAGCTGATATAGAATTAATTGTTATTAATCATGCTTTTGCCCACAAATGTACAGTCAATTCACTTTAGAGTATATTCTGTGAAGCGGTTTGAGACGTCTAGAAGATGTGAAATCAAATGCAAGGATTATCAAATGCTTTTCCCCATAGCATAATATTATTATGATGCTATGGGGAAAAGCAAAACAAGTCACCCAATGGATTAAGAAAAACTTTCAAGTACAAATTATAGATTGTGAATACCTTATCTTTATTTGAATCTCGAACTTTGCAATTCACTATCTGGAATTGATCCAAGAAAATATTCTGACCTCTAACACCTTTTGTATGCAAGGGATCCACATTCAGTAAGATACCAGTGGTTACAACTGGTTAGTGTGAGGCAATCACCTTTGATCATTGTTGTAAATTCTTTATTTGGTACCACTGGTTAATATTAATACTATAATATGTAAATACTAAATATATCTAAAAAGGAACACAAGAACAAATTTTATGTTCTTAATATGTAAATACTGGGAGGAGCCCATGCTCATCAATTTTGGTCTGTAAACCTGAAGCACAAACAGTGCCCTACACAACTTCATCTTTATGTATCACCAATTCTGTACTTAGCATGTTTACTTCATCTACAATGAACAATCATAGTTGAAATCTAAATTAAATACCAGCAGATACAAACAGTATTATTCCCTTTGAAATACTGAAATAGTATTGCTGAGGATCATTGGACGCAATATTGGCATCCACAAATCCTGAAGCAAACAACACATTGCATTCATATAGTGCCTTTCATGTTGCCTTAAATGCTTACGTTTGATTGATGAAAACACCAATCTTGTCCAGACCAATGTGCTTGGTGCAAGCATCTCGTCCCACAGCTACTAATACCTACAAGAGAAGATAAAACCTAGTGTGAACCCTTTCTTGTTCATGAATCTTTCTTCAAGTCATAGCAGACCACACAGAGGAGAAAAATAGTTCAAATATTTTTACACAAATTTGTCGTGGGATAAAATTGATTAACCATCTTTCAATTTCAAATGAAGTGGAAATGGCTGCTTGAATAGGTTTGACTGTCGTTGCACAATCAATATTATACTCACAGTGTTGAATTCCGCTTCCATGGTATCAAAGTTTTCTGTGGACTTTGCACTCACTAAAAGTCTTCCCGGAGTTCCTGCCTCTAGTTGTTCAATCTACCAAAGAAAATTATAATAAAATAATAATCCTTGCATTTGATACAGAGCTTTTTACATCTTCTAGACTTCTTAAAGCACTTCACAGAATATACTGTAAAGTGAATTGACTTATATTTGTGCGTGAAACACGGCAGTCAATTACACACAGCAGTGTCCCACAAACAGTCTTGGATTGAAGTGACCAATTGTTTTTATTATTTTTAGTTTAGTTAGAACACATAGTTCTCCAAGGGTATGGACTATAGCTTTTAACCTGTTCCTCCGCTGTTCGGAAATAACTATCCCTCAGTAAGTAAGAAACGGAAGTCTAGAGTCTAATTCTGTTCATTCAATCCTTTGCAACCCATTTATTTTTACTGTTTGATCAGCATGGGGTTCAACAAGTTCACTTAAATCTATTTCCCATGACCAGTTTGATACACCACAAACATTTCAGCCAAGGTACTTAAGAAAGAGCACGCAATAAAATGCAAACATTGCAATTAAGTAATGTAAATAGTCAGGTTTTCTATGATATCAGGACCTTGGTTAAAAGAAAGGTGGATCAAACTGGAAATGAAACCATTTCTTATAAATACCTCAGCCCATTTTTCTTCATTGCCATTATGTTACCAAGTCTTAATTTTTCTCACTGTACATGTCTCAACAATCCCCACAAACCACAGACAAGTCAATCTTGAAAATCAGGAAAAAATACTTGGAAAAAATATTATTACATTATGGAAAAATAACTTATATTGCATTAGGCATCATATGAATTCACATGGACCATATAAGCAAGCCCTGAAAAGGTCCAATAACAAAAATAGGACATCGAGTATCTAGTTTTATATGTACCGTGATCAGCATTTTAACTGCTGCATTCCTTCCCTCAATTCCACATTGCCTAATTTATACAACTGATACAAGTCAGCCATAGCATTTAAAACATCCTGGGCAGGTACACTTACTTTAGTTGGCACAAACTTCCTAATGAACTTCACTCCGTGATGTTCCATATATTGGCCTACTTTTTCAGCCATTTCCTGGTCAAAGCCTCGGAGAAGGATGGAGCGCACTAGAACAGTAACATCATACCCCAAGCTTGCAAGGAACCCCGCACATTCCAGTGCAACATAGGAAGCACCCACAACCAGAGTTTTCCCTGGGGGGTAAGGCAGGGAGAAGAGGTCATCACTGCAGAAACAAAAGAAACAATTAATATAAATAGAAACACTGACATGTGGCCTTCCTCCCACCATTTGTATTTGAAATTTGACACAGCTGAAAAGCCAAGATTCCAATGGTAACTGTACATTTCATAAAGTTACTTCTCCCCCTTTCATAGTATGCAGGCGAGTTACTGCATAACAACTGGATAATGAAATGAGTAAGAGGAAGGCAACAAAGTCTCATATTTATAGAGAATTATAAGGCAACTTAGTGAGAGATTATTTGCTCTTTACGGGAGTAGACAGCAACAGCGAGAACAATATCAGTCCTTTTACATGCATGAAAAGTTCTTTATTCAATAGCATTAACAATTTTCATCCATCTGTTCAAGTGGACATTAATACCTGTGATACTATTCTAAGTGTCTTGGCGAACTAATCTCTAATTAAATTAGTCATTTATCTCTTGTCTGTTTGTAGGACATTATCATGCAAATTGACTACCACGTTCGCCTATAAATAGTTATCCTATGCTTAGCAGCAACTAATATAAATATTTATGGTGCTTTGTGGTGCTGACATTTTAGATGCTATATCAAATGCAAGACTACTCCTATATCAAGATTAGGACTTAAGAATGTAAGAACATAAGAATTTTCTAAGGGAAAAAAGACCAAGGTCCATCTAGTTCGCTTTCCTCTATCCTGGCCGTTGTGTGACATGTCGTGCCCCAAACTATATACTGAGATATTATTTTCTAGCAGAAATCTATCTAATTTGTTCTTGAAACAAATGATATTTTCTGTTCCCACTATCTCCCCATGGAGCCTATTCCATAAATTTATGAAGCTTTTAAAAAGCTTCACTGAATAGAAAGATTGCTGCAATCCTAATGCTTGTAAAGTGCCAAGATATAAATTAAGTATGGTGAAGAGGGGATAAAACTTATATCATGCAATCCTTCCTCATCCCAGGGGCTTCTATCTCCCTTTCTTTGCCTCCTCCACCCACCTCACTCACACACACACATTATTTTCCTATATGTGGGGAAAATGTTACGATGTTGGAGGTAGGGAAAGAAGATAATTGCTCTAATTTGATTTGCAAGACATCATACCTAGTAATACAAAATTCTTTATCGCCTGGTATATTCAAATATCGTGGCCTTTCACCCGTCGCTATGATAAATCTCTCTGCTGTATGATAACTCAGTTTACATCGCTTGGTAGTTACCTGTGGGAGGAAAGTATTATTAGCAATAAATCTTCAATCTAATTCATTCATTGTACTCACGATTTAATTGCAACTAAAATTATGTAATTATTGTCACAGATCATAATATTAACCCATGCATTTGATATATTCCTACAGAAAGGGCAATAATTATCAATATAATTAGTAGAGGAATCCTGTAGCTCAATGGTTAGAGCACTCGCCTCACAATCGAGAGACCTGGGTTTGATTCCCGGCAGGGCGAAACCTTGGACAACTTTCCTTACTCCACAGGCCTGATAATAATCCGTCAAAAAATAAAATAATAATAATCACTTCAATCCATGATTGTTTGTTTGTGGGACACTCTGTGCACAATTGGCTTCCGCGGTTCGCCTACAAATATACAGTCAATTCACTTTACAGTATATTCTGTGAAGCGCTTGAGATGTGAAACGCACTATATCAAATGCAAGGATTATTATTATTGTTATATCTATATATTGGTTAATAGGGGTATCAGGGGATAGGGAGAAAAGGCAGACAAATGATATTGAGTTACAAATCAACCATGATGTAAGAAAATGGCAGAGCAGATTAAAAAGATTTAATGGCCTACTACTTGAAACAATCAGGTGTCAAACAGAATTAAAGATCCATATTATGCTACCCTCTCGAAACATTAACGGCTAATATTATGACCAAATTCCTATTTATGACAGGACCAACAGAACCCTTAAGCCATTTCAGTTAGATCTAAGACATATACATCATCCTCAGAAGGTATTTTGAGAGAACAGGAAAAAAAATATTAATACCTGTATCTTGTGCGGTTCCACAAACTCTGCATAGCCATTAATATAAGTTACTTTACTATCTCGCAATGACACTCTGTAGCTCCAGTTCAAAGAGCCTATGTAGGTATGGATCGCTTCCGTCATCTTAAGCCAGTTGTGTTTAACTGTAAAATGAAAACAATTAAGAATAATCCTCGCATTTTATATTGCACATTAAAATAATAATAATTTGGTCACTCAATCCACAACTGTTTGTGGGACACTGATGTGCGCAATTGGCTGCCACGTTTCGTCCACAAAATATACAGTCAATCCACTTTACAGTATTTTCTGTGAAGCGCTTTGAGACATGTCGAAGACGAGAAAAGGCGCTGTATCAAATGCAAGGATTATTATTATCATCATGACTTCGAGATGTCTCAAAGCACTTCACAGAATATACTGTAAAGTGAATTGACTGAATATTTTGTGGGCAAAACTCAGCAGCCAATCGGAGTCTGATAATGCGATTTTGACCTTCCTGGTGAGGAACATTTCAGTTTTAACATTTATGCACACGGTCATGGCCTGATAGCCTATTATCTCTGATGTTCCTCTGGGCTTGTTGCCAAATAGCCACTTAGGCAAGTCATGGTTGTTTGGCACGGTACACAAGCATAAATCAGCATCTCGGAGGGAAAGGAATTGGAGGTGGGAGGATGGGGGCGGGGAAAGGGCCCTTGGCCTTCACGAGAACATTACATCATTAGTTGTAAACTGCCATATTGTCTATTGTGCATTTGCTAACTTAAATTTACAAGTTAAAAAGTAATCAAATATGAATGATGCGCTAGAATGCAATTTTACCATCAAACATAAATAACCTCTGGCTTGGAGCAAAGGAGAGGGTGGTGGGGGGAAGGAATGATGAAACTGCCGGGCAATTCAGCATTTGCAATATGCCCCATAAAATACCAGCTACTTCCCATCATGGAAGAAACCAGACAATTCTTATGAGTTGTCTGTCTGCTGCTGTACTCCCCAGCTATTCTTGAAAATTATAAATTAGAATCCCCAAATGGAGCTCCCAATGCCTCAGAAAACACAGTCTAGGATGAGCCACCACTTCCAGAAGGGGGTAGAAAATGGGAATAAAATACCAATATCCAAGAAAACTGGATGCCTTTAGGAATGCTTACCCTGCTCATTAATCTCCCAACCAAATTTATGAGAATCATTTATTCCCTCTCCTAAGAGAGCTGCCTGATGCATCAGCTTCTTTGGAATGCAGCCTACATTTACACAGGTACCACCAAGCCCTGAAAAAGAAGAGAAAAGCGAAATAAACACACTATAAATGTAATGCTAATATTCCCTTATACTAAAGGTGCAAAAATTCCAACAATATGACACAATAATTGCACCTTTCCACAACTTTATCTCAGAAATCTAATAAACTGACAGTAGCTTGAATTTCAATTCCACACCCACTCAAAGCAAAACATCCATTTGAAATGCAGTAGAACTCTAGTGAGGTTGTTGGGGCCCATTAAATTCAACATTCAAGAGCAGCCATCAGTCAATGCTCCCACATATGATCACCAATCAAACAAGCTGGGGACAATATTGACTGGATCTTAATAACCCTGAAGTTAACTATTTATTAAGCGTGTAGCAAGCTGGTCAGTGCAAAGGAAGACAGACACAAGATAATGCAAGAGGACTCTTTATGGGGGGTGGGAGGAAACACCTTATAATAAGGTTCAACTGTACCACTCATCTTTACTGTCCAAGTAAAATTACATAAGGCATCTATCTTCATGTGAGATTTCAATGGGACAAGCTTATTCATTACAATTAGTTAGGTTTTCAAGTATGTCAGTCTCGTCTGAATGGAGCCCACAATTCTAATTGATGTACCATATAAAAATGTTAATAGCCATTGCAACTTTGTGCATGTAGTTTGCAATAGGGTCCCGATGATAAGAAAATTGATCACTTGGCTAATCTTTGCTACTTACTAAAATGGGGAAAGCAATGAAAATATTTGCCAAAATAACATACCCCATGTGGTACCCGAAGGTGTTGGCACAACATAGTCTAACACCAAGACCTTCCTTCCATAAGAAGCTGCCTCCTGCAAACAAACAAGTCACAATTATTTAAAGACAAGAGTCATTGCATTCTTCCATTGACAAAGGGCTTGGTTAGATAAACCAAAAGAGACTGACCCCAGTCCTCTAAATACATATAAAAACATCAATACATCTGTCCATGGACAGAAAATAAAAAATACAGATTCCATCTCCCCTCAACAAGGAATTCAAATAGCTGACAAAAGTACAAATAGGTCATGGGAAATCCACAAAATGCAACATTGAAACAGCAACAAATAATAATACCTACTCAAATGTCAGGACAAGCTTCATTTCTGTATTAACCACCCAATATTTAAATATTTGTATTTAAAAATATTTAAGCTTTAAAATACTCTAAACACTTCCAATCAGAGAACGTTATAGCACTGGAAAAAAGTAATTTGTTTTTTCATCCTTGTCAATCTGAACTGTACCTTTCTATTTTTTCTTAAATTATGAAACAGGTTGCCCAAAACTATGCTCAAAATTCTACTGTGGTCACCTTTAATGACCTGTTTATTTGTACAGTTTAAAATCTTACCATTTAAGATACATTTCCTTTCTCCAGTCTTACCGCTAAATATAACATGTACTACTTGATATTTTTTCTCATTGAACTGTTTCTGTCCACCCTGCTAGTTCAAGTTGTTGTTCCATCTATATATCGTCCTGCGGTGTTTCACTCTCAACACCAAAGACTGCAAGACTTTTGTTTTACCCCTAGGCTTTGTTTTCTTCCCTCCAACCTCTATCCATGCAACTCAGTTTCCCCTTAATTTCATGTACCATAATCATTGCCAAAAGCGTCATGTGGTACCTTATTAAACGCTTTTTGAAATTCCATAAACCACATCCACTGCATTTCCTTTATTTATCCGTTATTTCTTCAAAGAAGAATTCGAAAGGGTGAGGGGGAAAACTGTAAAAGTAGCCTCAAATCTGCACAAAAGTAATATCAATCACCTTGGTTTCTTAGAGAGTTGCACAAGAAACTGGTTCTGAAACACATGTCAATTCTGTTCACATCACATATCAGTTTTGTAATAATTATTGTAACTTACTATATCTACATAAAACTAAAAGATCCTCTGTAATAAAGTACCTTGGAAACTGCAAGTCCTCCAGAGCCACCACCTATAACTATGAGGTCATAATCATACATCTCACCTCCCTCTAGCAGTCTTTTGAGCAGGCCGTCTTCATGAGCCTGCAGAGAACAAAAACATGAGGATCATTTAGTACAGAAATGTGTACCACAGTAAAGTCAAACAACAAATTGTATCTATATAGTTAGAACTTTTCACATCAGGGGGACATCCCACGATGCTGGACAATCAAGGGTTTGCACTTGAGCTGGGAATTGGATTCAAGATAGATGGGGGCAGGGAGGTGGAGATCACCAAACGAGCAGTCAAAGAGGAAGGTCTTGAGATGCACCTTGGAGGAGGCAAAGGTAGGAGAGGCAAAGGGACTCCGGGATGGAGTTCCAGAGAGTGGGGGCAAAAAGACTGAAGGCCAGACCTCCGATCATGGGGCGGGCACGGCGGGGGAAATGAAGACCAGTTCCTGCCAAATGGAATAAGTGAGTAGGTTGCTAGGTTTTTAATAGACACGGAGGTAGGGTGCAGCAAGACCGTGGAGGGATTTAAAAGTGAGGACAAGGATTGAGCTCTGAATGGTCTGTAGGAAGCGTTCGAAAGACAGTCGAGAAGAGAGTTAGCGTAGTCAAGCCTAGCCATGATAAAAGCTTGGAATAAGGGTCTCGGCAGTCCGATGGGAGAGGTTGTGGCAGATGCGAGCAATATTGAGAAGCTGGGGGAAAGCTGATAAGGTCAAGGTCAAGACATAGATGCGGGGCTTAAAAGGCAGTTGAGAGTTGAACAAATCACCAAGGTTCTGCTTGGCTCTATGAGATGGAGCATGCATCCGTGTAGATTGAATCCGTCAGCGCTTGAGGTGACAAGGCACTGACGGGAGCCAAGCAGAAGAGTCCGTCTAGTCGACATTCAAATGAAGAAAGTTAACTCTCATCCAGAACTTTGATAAGATAACCTACTCTATATTTCCTGCAGAATACTCAAATTCAATACCTCAAATTGCACCCACCCAAGTACTTGACCCACTAAGTCTAATATGTATCAAAATAAGTTTGGGCCCAAAGTGACTAAATTATGCTGTTGTATTGTAAAATGTCACTTCCTCACCATTGCAGTATTCTGAAACTTTTAATACAAGTAAAAATCAATGGTTTAGTGGAATGCAGCTTTCCATATTTATATTGATAAACATTGCAAAATACCAAAAATAATTCAACAATGGTGCACCAGGTTGCAAGTTGTTTGACTTTTCACCTCTGGGATTTTTTAAAAAAACAGTCCAGACAAACAGAAATCTCTTCCGGCCTAAAGACTGCAGTTAATCAATTTCAAGCTTTTAAAAAGCACTCCAGGCAACTAATTAGGCAGTATAACTCAAGAATACCATTCTTTCCACCCCTCCCAAAAGCCTGGCAGAATTGTGATCTCAAGCATACGGTCATGAAAACAACACTCATGATGGACAAATGGCTTTATATTCACTTTCAAATAAATTACAGAAAGAAAATTTGTATTTTATAGCACTTGAGGATTTCGCACTTCAAGAAGCAATGGTAAACACCACTGCAATTAGGTTACAGATACCCAACAACAATGGAACTTAAATGGCTTTTGGTTGAGCAGCAATAGGTTAGTACAAGTTATTTCCTTTCACAGTAATAATAATCCTTGCATTTGATATAGCGCTTTCACATCGGGAGGACGTCCCAAAGCACTGCACAGAATATACTGTAAAGTGAATTGACTGTATATTTGTGGGCGAACGCGGCAGCCAATTGCGCACAGCAATGTCCCACAAACAGTCGTAGATTGAAAATGACCAATTTATTATTGTTTTTGGTTTTGGAGGGATTATTATTAGGCTCTGTGTGGAGTAATGAAACTTGCCCAAGGTTTCGCCCTCTGCCTGGAATTGAACACAGGTCTCTCACTTGCAAAGTGAGTGCTCTAACCACTGAGCTACAGGACTCCATTTTGCATTCTTAAATAAAACAGGAGAAGTTTTAAAAAGGTAGTACCTGTAAGGTTTTATCACATCCACCCAGATGTTTCTTGTTAATGAACACATTTGGTACTGTATTCTGGCCAGTCAATTCAAGCAGCATCGCCTGCATCACAGCTCCATCCTCTGATAAAAATCACAGTAATAATAATCCTTGCATTTGATATAGCGAATCCTTGTATTTGATATATATTTGATATATATAAAATCAGATATAAATAAATCAAACACGAAAAAAAATAAATTAACAGTACAAAAATCTACAACAGCAGAACACATTAATTTGGCTTTCTATAAGTTTTCCAATAGGCTAGTTTTCTGCTAACATTAACACAGGTTATATTAACACAGTAGTGGTGCATGTCTGGGCTGTGGTTAGGATGGTTATAATGTATTCATGCACTTTATGCTGTTTTGCTGGTGGGGAAGATTATGAGTGAGATCATGTGAAGCTGCATTTAATAATGAGCATTGTGTGTTGGGAGTTTTTTTCAACTAAACTAGGTGTGGAACTACAAGCACATACACCCGAGACTTCCATTGATTAATTCAAAGCTATATCTGCACATTCAAATTCTTGCCATTCACTGCCAAGGGGGCGTAATCTGCTCCCAGGTGCAGCAGTATGTAAGCAGTGGAAATTAATGAGGATGAAAGAGAAATGCAGATCAAGCAAATTGGGGGGGGGTGGGCGAGTGCTCTACTGGAGGAAAAACAGATTTGGGAGATAATCTTATCTCAACACATTTCAGTCTTCTGCATTTCTGGAAGCGAATCAGATAAGTGCAAAGACATCTTTAAAATCTCAACAATGGCATTTGAAAAGTTTCCTTTCCTCTGCATGACTTAGCACATTTACTTTGGCAACAAGTCAAAAGATGATTATAAGAACAGAGCCTACTTTAAATATCCAACCAGTGTAATTACTTTTCATTCCTCAGCATGACTTGGCACTTTGCCATACTATATAATAATTTTTGCATTTAATATCCTTCCTCATCATGTCCTCAAGGCGTCTCAAAGCACTTCACAGAATATACTGTAAAGTGAACGGACTGTATCAGTTGTGGGTGAAAATATATCCAAGATAATATAGAATCAATCTCATTTACCCAATACGTCAAGCTCCACTGCATGGAAATTAACTTCCAGGGACCCGAACAGTTCTTTAACCTGGAAAAAGAATAAGAATTTTAAGCCAAAACTGTAAGAAACAATATAATTTACATTCATATAGTGCCTTTTGCGTCAGTAGGACATCTCAAGCACTGCTGGTTGGGCACCCGAGATTGGGTGGAAGCCGAAGGATGTAAGGGAAGGGAAAGACGACCAAACGATAGTCAAAAAGATACAAACGTACACTGAACAAGATTCAAATGCAACGGTTGTGCTCAATGGGTTTCAATTAGAAATTGAATCAGACACAGAAATTTGTCCCTCAACCATGGTCTCAGCACATTAGGAAGAAATGCCTCCACAAGGCACAAAATAGCCTATCGTTATCTACGACTGAGAGAGGGAAAGGCACTGAAAATACCACACTGCATTCTATTACTGGTCTGCAGCAAAGAGTCATGCTTGCCCAGGCTACTCAGACTGAACTCCCTTTCAACTTTGTCATCTGGTCCAGGGTAGTCTGGATCCTTCCCCCTACCCTCAAGTATGTGAAAAGGGTTAGAAGTCATGAGATCGTCCTCAGTAGGATCCCAACGTTATTAGTAATTATAAGTGGAGTCCTGTAGCTCAGTGGTTAGAGCACTCGCCTTGCAAGCGAGACATCTGGGTTCAGCTCCAGGCAGAACGAAACCTTGGGCAGGTTTCCTTACTCCACACTCCTCATAATAATCCCTCCAAAACAAAGCAATAATAAATTGGTCATTTTCAATCCACGACTGTTTGTGGGACGCTGCTGCTCACTTTGATCGCTCACTCACTCACTCACCTTCACACAGAACGGACACACGGTCTTGCTGAAGATCAGGACATAGTGGGTGTTGATCAGCTCCTGGACGCGGACCCTCATCTCGCTCACATCGCAGGTCTCGGTGGGCGGCATGATGGCGGGAGCCTGGGGCCGAGAGAGAAGCCAGGTGAGAGGGGGGGGGAGGGGAGAGAGAGAGGGAGAGGCCAGGTGAGGGGGTGGGGAGTGAGAGGCCAGGTGAGGGGAGAGAGAGAGAGAGGGAGAGGCACAGGTGAGGGGAGAGAGAGAGAGAGGGAGAGGCCAGGTGAGGGGGAGAGAGAGAGAGAGAGGGAGAGGCCAGGTGAGGGGGAGAGAGAGAGAGAGAGAGGGAGAGGCCAGGTGAGGGGGAGAGAGAGAGAGAGAGAGAGAGAGGGAGAGGCCAGGTGAGGGGGAGAGAGAGAGAGGGAGAGGCCAGGTGAGGGGGAGAGAGAGAGAGAGGGAGAGGCCAGGTGAGGGGGAGAGAGAGAGGGAGAGGCCAGGTGAGGGGGAGAGAGAGAGAGAGGCCAGGTGAGGGGGAGAGAGAGGGAGAGGCCAGGTGAGGGGGAGAGAGAGAGAGGGGGAGAGGCCAGGTGAGGGGGAGAGAGAGAGGGAGGGGAGGGGAGAGAGAGAGGGAGAGGCCAGGTGAGGGGAGAGAGAGAGAGAGGCCAGGTGAGGGGGAGAGAGAGAGAGAGAGAGGCCAGGGGAGGGGGGAGAGAGAGAGAGAGCCAGGTGAGGGGGAGAGAGAGAGAGGAGAGGCCAGGTGAGGGGGGGGGGAGAGAGAGGGAGAGGCCAGGTGAGGGGAGAGAGAGGAGAGAGAGGAGAGGCCAGGTGAGGGGGGGAGAGAGAGAGAGGGAGAGACCAGGTGAGGGGAGGGGAGAGAGAGAGAGAGAGAGGCCAGGTGAGGGGGGAGGAGAGGGAGAGGCCAGGTGGGGGGAGAGAGAGAGGGAGAGGGAGGGGAGGGGAGAGAGGTGAGGGGGAAGAGAGAGAGAGAGGGTGACGGGGAGAGAGAGAGAAGAGGTGAGGGGAGAGAGAGAGAGAGGGTGACGGGGAGAGAGAGAGAGGGTGAGGGGAGGGGAGAGAGAGGGAGAGGGGAGAGAAAGGGTGAGAGGCCAGGTGAGGGGGGGGGGGGGA